TTTAAAAAAAAAAAAAAACAGATGATAGTGAAGGCAGATCCAAGGATGACAGACAGTTATGCATGAAGCATAAAGGAAGCAGTTAGACCAGAGTGGAATCCAGGAAAGACTTATTCAGGAAGATGAAACTGATAAAATACCAAATACATATAAACATCTTGAAAGAATTAGACAACTAGCTAAAAATTGGGGTTGAATTAATAACCACATACAACACTAACAAAAACAAAACAGTTATTAACTGTTTAAAAAGTTGTACAAGACAGGAAAAGGCACCATAGTTTGCTATGGGGCTCAACTATGAAATAGAATTTACATAGTCATAATAAAGTAAACACTGACTGTTGACCAAAATTACACTTATAACTGTATTAAAAGGAGGAGGGATAGGAAAGGAAAGAGGAAGCAGGGGGAGGAAGGAGAGCTACGTCGTCGCATTTCATGATGGGAAGTCTATTGATAATGCCTAAAGCTGAAAAATCAAGTAGTAATATCAACATGTTATTATCTAGAGACATGGAAGTAAATACTGAAATATTCAGCATAAAGAAGTTGAAGAGGGACATAAATAGCGGGAACAGGGAAGTGCTATTTTTCATAATAAAACCTTCAGAACAATTTGCTTTACATTGCATGCATATATAAGTTTAAATGCCAAAAAAAGTCAGAATTCTGTAATGCACTGCTACCGGTGGAGTGCTGATAAATTGTTAACAACCAGCTCTCCAAAGGAAAAAATAAGTGGCCTGATTTGTCACATTTGCCAGTCTCCGTGGTGTAAATTCTCCCACTATCGCCAACGATATCAGGGAACGCTGAGTTGTGAAGAGATTCTAACATTCGGCTCTCCCAAATGGAACAAGCTAGCTCTAGCACACCACTGATGATAGAAACCTGTATCAAGTACAGTAAGTCCCCGACTTACGAACGAGTTCTGTTCCAGGAGAAAGTTCATAAGTCGGATTCGTTCGTTAAGTCCAACAAAGTGAGTCGTATACACCTTTGACACAAATATACAATATAAAACATAAAAAAAAACTAAACACACACACACACAAATACTGTAAATAAACTATTTTTACTTTTACAGTTACCTTGAAATGGTGGCACAGTACAGTACAACTGGCATATAGGGGATTGCATGGAGTGGACTGACAAAAAGAGAGTTACTAACTGGAGGAGGGAGGGTAGGTGGGAGATGGTGGAGCTGCTTTTCCTCTTGCTTCCGGACATCCCGGGCTCTGATTGAGCACTGTACTACTGTACACTATTGCACTGTACAGTAAGCACACAGCACAACTGTGACAATGTCCGGCAGACACGTGAGCTACTTCCGTGATTTGTTCACATCTACGAATGTTCTTAATGCGAGGTTCGTTTGTATCTGTGAAAGTTTGCAACTCGAATGTTCATAAGTCGGGGACTTACTGTATTTCACT